CAGCCATGGCTTACTCGGGGCGAGCGGGCTCGGTCGGGCCGCGCCGCACTCCGGCCGTGCCGCTTGTGCCTTCCCGGAGCGCCACCGTCACCCGCAGCGGCGCCATTTTGCCCAAGCCGGTTAAGGTGAGTGAGGGGCGAGCGGGTGGGGGCGGCAGCCAATCGCGGCGTAATGGATGGCAGCCGTGGCCATTCAGTGCTGGTGTATCTGCTGTGGGTGGGGCAGTGCGAGTGAGTGACAGGTTCTAGCCTAATGAGCGGAGAGGCTGTGGGCGGGGCGGAGATGCGGAAGTGCTCGGTGACGGGAGGGTGATGGGAGCAGCCCCCAGGGGCCGGAGCTCGGTGTCCCCCGAGCGGGGTGCGCAGACCCGGCGGCGGTCGGGGGGGCGGATAAATACCCGCCTGTACACCGCCGCTCCTCACCGGCAGCCGCTCTCCCTCCCTAAGTCACCCGTGTTCCCCGCCGGTTCCTGCTCTTCCGGTGCTGGAGTTTTTATAACCGAGATGCAGTGACAGGGGTCTTCTGTGCCCCCGCGGAGCCGGGAGCACGTAGGTTCAGCTACATTGCGACTTGATGATAAAGATGAGTCTTTTTCCGCTCGGCTCCTTGCAGACGCCATTTGGCCTCCTCAGAGTATTCAGCGTGGTGATCCCCTTCTTGTACGTTGGGACTCAGATCAGTAAGAACTTCGCAGCCCTACTTGAAGAACATGATATCTTTGTCCCAGAGGATGACGATGACGATGATTAAAGGGTGGTATGTCATTAACTTCATCAGCAATCTTAATTATTTGTGCTTCCAGTTTGGGCAGGGAGGAGAATCTCAGACTCGGAAATCCAGCAACAGCTTGAAAGATGCATTTGCAGTTAAACACACAGGCACACTATCACCTCTGGCTACGAACTTTTATACCGGAGTAGGCCAGACTGGTATCTGAATTTGAAATCTCCACAACATACATTTTTTAGAGATCAGAATAAATTGATGGTGGTTTAGATCTTGTAATTTGAATCAGAAATAAACTGTAGTCAGTGAGGATCTATATGCAGACAGGAAAGAGGGACTTAAGTATTACTACATTACACATCCAAAGAAGGGTAATGAAGCTGGTGAAAGGTCTAGAGCACAAGTCTTATGAGGAGTGGCTGAGGGAACTGGTGTTGTTTAGCCTGGAGAAAAGGAGGTTCACAGGAGACCTTATCACTCTCTACAACTTTGTGAGAGGAGATTGTAGCAAGGTGGGTGTTGGTCTCTTCTCCCAAGTAACAAGTGACAGGAAGAGAAGAAACAGCCTCAGGTTGTGCTAGGGGAGGTCTAGATTGGGTATTATGAAAAATTTCTTCACCAAAAGCAACTGGACAAGCATTGGAACAGGCTTCTTAGGGAAGCAGTTGAATCACCATCCCTGGAGGTACTCAAAAAGACCTGTAGACATGGCACTTTGGAACACAGTTAGGGGTGGACTTGGCAGTGGTAGGTTTGCAGTTAAACTCGATGATCTTTTCCAAACTAAACGTGATTCTGTTCTACATGTTTACTTGTTTAAAAGTCTTCTGCTAACACACAGAATGACTGTCTTAAAGAGAATCACTTACTGTATGAAATTCTATTATAGAGGAGCACAATTTAAGAGAATTCCAGAAGCCATCAGAACAAACTATCTGGTGGGTGCTACACTGATCTCCAGACTAGTTGGACCATTCAGACTCATTGGATAAAGGAAGGGGGGAAATAATTCATCTTTTTCTGTAGTACACTACACTGTGCTACACTTTCCACCATTTTATGTAAGTCTCTTTGGCCTACCTGTGTGTAAAAACTTGAGTTTGGATGTATTTGATTCTTTATAGAACAAAGAAACTGTTCTAAAATAAGCTGTAAATAATGTTACTTTATAATCCATTTGGTGGATGCATTCCATTTGATAAAGGGATTTTCTAGCATGCACTCTGCAGCTAAAACAAAGAATAAAGAGACTGTAAAGACTGAAGTGGCCTGTTAGAAGCTCCTTTTCCATAAACCCCCACCTTGTGTTGTTCGGGGGGAGAGTATGGACTGGAGCTCTACGGTATATCTGAAGAGTAACAGCTTATTACTCTATTTGCAGAACTGTAATGGAAGAACAGAAGGGAGAAGACCATTGACAAACCAATGGTTTCAGCATCTGTCACCTGTGTTGTGTCCTTCCTAAACGGGACAGGGGGTTCTGTATCCCCTTTGCAGTGAGCATCCTGCGCATGTCTGTATGACAGAAATCGGTAGATCAGGGCTGAAGGAAGCGCTTGATAGGCCCTGCATCCTTGCACACACACTCTCACCTCATTAAAGACTGCTTGGGATTCCTTTTACTAGCAATATGGTAAACACTTAATTAAAGATCAAGAGATGTATGACTTTGGTCTTGTGTTTTTACAGATTATGTGCCTATGTCCTAGCACTTCTATCTTAACTGTTCTACCTCTGTACATCTGTTCCAGTAAGGACGCTCTCTTTGTATTTATTTCCTCTTGTGAGTCCTTTCTGTAATTCAGTACTAATCTACAGTACCTGACAGGAATCCTAGAGGAAGCAACAACCCCACAACACAGCCCCACTAAAAGAATGGAGTGCATATTGATAGTGGCACTGCAGTGCTGATTTACAACCTGATGGAGACTGTGTCACTAATTTCACCTCACTGAGGATTAACTACAGTATTGTAATCAGAGTTAAAAATTTTGAGCAGCTTTGCTAAAAGGTTAAGGTCACAAATTGCAAACTAACTTGCTGATGTGTTTTATAGCATTTAGTCTCTTGACAGTGAAAATCCCTGAACACTCTGGCTCCAAGTACCTAGTAATTCCTATGTAATTCAGTACTTCCTTGTGTATGAGCCCTAATATATTTATTTTCTTAACTCTTTATAAACTCGAACTCTTCTTTTCACAGAAGTGTTTATTATTGCAATTAATTCCTTGCATAAGACTTAAAAGGTCTTCTCTACTGCTAGGGCATACACAGAGTATCTTCAGTCACATCAGATCAGCAGTTTTCTGAAATACCTTGAAAGATGAGTAAATTATTTTTTTTTTCTTTTTAAGCCAGCATTGCTCCAGTGTGTCTCTCTCAGTTTCTGGTCAATAGATCTGGCCTCTTCCCTTGATGGCCCACTTTTCCCTTCAGTATTCATGTAGCTGTTAAGAAGTTTCTTTTAATGTTGCACACATTAGCACAATGTATAGTTCAAACAGCCACATTTGCCGCCTCATTATGGCACTCCTTTTGATGTTTGCTCTCTTAACTCTCCAGCATAGCTACTGAGAGAAAAGGGAGCCTGCAATCTGAGTAATGCCATCAGCTGTAGCTGAAGGCAGCTGACAGGTTCTTGAGTTACTTGGTATCCAAGTTGCCCTCTCCTTCCCCAAAGCTGCCTAATAAGTGGTTGCTCCAGATCATGCTCTTGGGAGCCAAACATGTCCCTGCTCTTGTTTTCTATACTGTTCAATTTCTTACCACTGCTTTATCTCACCATCTCTCCTGGCCCTTCCTGACTGTGTCAACTCTGTCCTTAAAAGCACTCCATCCCCAAAGCCCCTAGGTACACATACATATACATCCCTGAGGAGTGCTGCTTTACAGTCTTCATACAGGGAAGAATGGCCCAGTATTTAGTCAATGATAAAAAGAAGTTTGTAATACAAAGATCTGATGCTGATTCATGCATGGGGGAGCTCCAGCACCTTTACCTGCTGAAAACCTGTTCTGACTGTTTAAAGAAAAAAACTGTCCTTACCCTTCTCAAATGGAGCTAGTGATTTCTGATTCAGTTAAGGAGGTGATGGTAGGACACCATCTTCTGCTAGGCATCAGAAGCTCTTACAGAGCCTCCCTATTCTAGACAACAGTACAAAACTCCAGTTTTCCAAGTAATTTCGTTTTATAGCATGAAAATGGACTCTGCTGATCTTTTTGTTGCATAAAGGGCTTTATTTGCCTATTGGATTTTACACCATTCTCTGTGAGAAAGTAAACAGAGACTAGTGTCCAAGTGAAAAACATAAGGTCAGCAAAGTCATAGCATCAGATCGCAAAACACTGCATGAATATAGATGGGCCTTAAGCACAAGCATATTTATTTTCTATTTCTTTTCTATTTTCAGAAAAGCCAACTACATTGGCTATTCTGAAGGCCCACTCTTTCTTCCACAGAGCTGACACCTACATATGGGGCTGCAGGCTAAGAAGAAAGCCCCACAGCCAGGTGGTGTTGTGGTTACTCAACAGACACTCCAGGGCAAGGGATGGGACAAACTCCATGCACTGAAAATACACATTAGCAAAACTAGGAAATCGCAGCTCTTCATACAGATCATAGTGACTAGCACACACTCTGGATTCAGAGTTAGTCATTAGGCTCCTAATAAGCTATACAATCTTTCTGTACAAGTATTTTTTCCACTAAATAGAACTTTATTTGTAATAGAAGGGAGAGACAGAGTCAATCTCTCAGGGATCATGGCCTGCATAGAATTTGGACAGAAAGTCTTTAGGTCGTGGGGTTTCCGTCTCATGGAAATACCTCATGATGTGAGTCCTCTGCTTCCATATGTGAATGGTTTCTTGAAGATCCATTTTTCCCTGCAGACAGAGAAAAGAACTTTAGACTAGTCCTCAGTTACAGCCTCAGTCTAACTATACAGCACTATGTAAGTTATTTGAATACACTTAGAAACACCCTTAAGATAGCTGCATCAAAAATTCTGTACTCCTAAAGACTGCCTGCATCACCTGCACTGTGACACAAATATACAGTTTCCACCTTGTGACTTTGTTGCTTCATGTCCTGTATTAACAAGTGACTTGTCTCTACAGCACAGCTTCCCAGCCCTGTGGAACAGACAAGGGACCCTGCCCCTTTTTTGAACCTGCCTTGTTTCTTTCATGACCAGCACCCCCATAAAATTCTACATCACATTCCTAACTTTCATGCACCTCCAATTTTTTTGAATAGTGGCAGGTTAGCTGTAAAACTGCTGCTAAGTGCTTTGCACCAGTATCTCTACCACAGAGATATTAAACCTAATTTTGTCATGACTCCCATCTGTGAATTATTGTACTGGCTTTGGAGGATGACAGCACCTGGCAAAATGAGACTGTCTGGAATTGTCGCCTACCATTCTATCCAGGATTTTGTTTCCAAAATTTTTTCATCACGTGAAGACAGATTAACTGTCTTGAAATGCAAGAAATACAACAGGTGAACACAGCAGTCCTTGATTGGAAGCTTCCTAATGTATTAGAACTACAGAGGTCGGTTATTGTTGCTCAGACTTGTTTTGAAGCCTTGCCCTTCTCTTGGTATGCTGATTATTGCCTTGAACCATACAGGTCTCTCAGGCCTGAGACATAACCAGATGTGTACAGAGCTGGCCCAAAGCCAGCCTCCCAACAAGTATTGCCACTCCAATGTATGTTTTACAATCAGTGAAGAAAACTGCATCTCAATCTGAGGAAATAGGGAGTAGAAAGGTAATTTTTAATGGTAAATTTGCTAGCAGCATCTTCTCCTTTCTCAAATTGACATTGTTTTCTAAAAAAAAAAAAAAAAAGAAAACCACAACCAACTTGGTATTTAAACTGCCATTTCACTTGCCATATACTTAATCTTTTAAACATCTGCAAACTGGAAGAGCCAGCAAACTGAGTGACAGAAATCCATATTCTAGCAAATCTGAAGTAGGTGAGTTAAGACCCTATTCCTCTGCCTGCTAAAGCAGCTTGATCCCTTATCAACAGGTTCAATGACAGATAAAAATTGATCTGGATTGCAAGAGACAATTCTTCCCCAGTACAAGCTGAAATAAAACTGTCCCTCTCTTCCATCACACTCACCACCAAATATCCACTCTCACATTCTCCACAGCTTCAACAAAATAGTAATAACTTGTATGTACCTTAATAACCAGCATATCTATCACCCGTGGGTCTGTAACGTTGGCGTTCTTCAGGAACATCTCCCGCACCTTGTTACGCCCCTGTTTCACCGTGATGTCCAGCTGGTATAGGTGTACTATGAAAAACAGAACACCCACAGAGATCATCTATATTGCTTTTCATTTTTTCCACTGAGAATGTGCAACTCAACCCTTTAAAACACTACACAGTAATTTGTTCTTGCAGTATCTGCCAGCTTTAGTAATATGTTCAATTTAAAGCAAATAAACTACAGAGCCATGGTACAAGTCCCAGTGCAGTTTTAAGGAGGCAGGCAATCAGGCCACACGTCCCTGTTCTAGAAAATTAAAGCCAGATTTCTCTTTTGCTTAGCTATGAAAAACACAAGTGGCGAGTAAGGCATGAAGAGACCAGGGTTCCCCGTCCAGAACTCCCTCAGGGGAGGCAGCCGGGGCGGGCAAGGGAAACCCTGCTGGGCCAGGCCGGCGGGCCTGTGCTGCACCGGGGAGCAGCCGAGAGCCCGCAACGGCTGTAAGGGCCCGAACAACCGCGCTCACCGGCCCCACGCGCAGCGGGCCAGGCCGGGGCAAGGGCCGCGTCGGGACGAGGCAGGACCCCGAGCGCCCGGGGGTAACCGCCACCCTCCGACGGGCCCTTTAAGAACCCGACGGCCGCCGGGTGGCCGTTACGACCTTGAGCAGCGCTCCCGCCCGCGCATACGTGGTCGGCTCCGCGCCCCTCACCCGTGTTGGGCACCTCGCGGTACCAGGCCCGGTACAGCTCCCTCACGCGCCGCTTTGCCTCGCCCAGGTCCCGGCTGAAGATCGGCTTCACCAAGGCAGACACCGCTCCTTTACCCGCCACCGCCATCTTGGTGCAGCACC